TGCCCCCCCACAAAAACCACACCGCCCCCCCAAAGGAAATTGAAAAATTAATCCCCCCCCCCCCCCCCCAAAATAAAACACGATGAGCTGAAATAAAATAAATGGTCAGGAAGGGAACATACGCGTTCTGAATTTTGGATGTTTTACCTCCGCAAAAGAACTTTGGAAACGATCGGCTGTTGATTTATAGACAACAGACAAAGAATATCTCAAGACATTATACGAATAAAAACGTATTTACTGATCCATAGATTCAAAGTCAGTTACATAAATTCGAGTTTTATCGAATTTATCCACTAAAGTTAATTCCAGTTTATTAATCCAACTGGTAAAATGATTTAAAATCCAGCTGACTTTGCAGCAATCTCCTGAAAGAACAGGTTTCTTCTTCAACTATAAGTACAAATTCATTTTTTAACTTTTTTTTTTTGCAACATGTTTGTTGCCATGACAACAACCCCATTATGCCGTCTAAGTTTCCAAAGTGAGCGAGTGGGTGCGTATTTTACAGATCATGAAACTGATCCGCAAAATACGAACAAAAACTTAAAATAAATCCAGGTTTGATTTTCCCTTTTATTTAGAGAAATTAGGAAAAACTGCAGTAAACCAACAGCTTTTCATTCACCCCGAAGAAAAGAGTTTAAAATTAGTGCCATCATTTGCATTTTTAATAAATTCTGTTCAATATTTCTGATTAGAACTGATGCATTTAGACACCTACATAGGTTTTAGACAGAAGCAGTAAACTTAAGTAAATGTTTACTGAATTCAAACAGATTTTTAAGATGTCAGAAAGAAAAGTTAAATTCCAGCTATGTAGATCATTTTCAATCTTTTATTGATTCTTTTATTAGTTAAAAGACCGAAAAAAGTGGAACTGGTTCTGATTAGATCATAAAATCTTACTTAGTCACAAACGTTTCCAATCTGCAGCATTTAAACATTTTTCTAAACTCCACATAAAGATGTGCCGTTCATTGGTAAAGAAGCGCAGTTTGAACTTTTCTAAAAATGACAAATTAATGCGTTTTATTAAGCGTGTAATAATTAACTTTGTTGTATCTTTTCATTACTGACTCATCCCGGATGAACAGTTAATGAGTAGCAGCGTTTCTCTATATTAGCCGACAGAAGGATGGTTTTAATCAAAATACAATATTTTATCAAAACTATCACCAAACCGCCGCCTGTAGTGAGTTGTAATATTTGACTTTAAGATGTTAAACGTCAAAATAAATAACGCTCTGCAACATACTTAATAAAAACGTGAAGAATATGAATTTAAGACATCCTCTAAAATGTCCTGTTTTTTTACTTTGTAATTAAATGTTTCATTTTGGCGAAAGACGGTCTGACCAAATCTAAATGTTACCTGAAATGTTTGGGGAACAGAAGAAGAAGAATCCACATCCTGTTCCCTGAAAACAGCCTAATTGCGGTTTTATTCCGGTGCGCTTAATTAACAATCCCGTCCACCTTGCGGCGACTCACCGCGTCCGGAGGCAGTTCTGGCCTGAACTCAGCTCCAACTCGTTTTTTGTTTTTTCTAACACCTGTCCAGATATTTGCTGAACTTATCATCGGGGAAGACAAACTGTCCAAAACGTTGTGAAAATGAGAGTGGGGAAGCATCAATTGCTGTTTTCTCTCCGCGTAATTGTTCCTCCAGTCTCAGATCGGCGGTTTCCCAAGGCCATTCTTGTATAATTACAGCCACACATTCGCGTCTTAATGTGGAAAAACAGTAACTACAAGTCTGTGGACAAACATCGCGAGAATATCTCCAGCATCC